TTTTGGGTTGGTTTGATTTTGTATTATAATACAATTAAATTATTAATTACAGACGTTGATTGTAATCCTCAATCAACGTTACAATAAAACAACCTAAAAATATGACGGGATCAGTAATAACTGCACGATGACTCCTGGACGCTAGTTTATTTTTATAATATTTTATAAACATAATTGTTACCAAAATAAAATATGATAAAATTCCGTGTACTCGGTGTTTTTGAAATTTTAAAGTCTCCGAAAACAATTAACCTATGAAAATTTAACACAACACGGTGCTGTTCTGAGAGGTGATTTTTGGACCTTCTGTGAAACCTAATTTTTTTTTATATTCTTGTTAATTAGGTCATAACTAAAATTTTAAGAGCAAAATAAAAAAAATTTGACGGTTTGAATTGTTTTAATTGGCTGTTTATTAAAAATATTATGGCTGTTTATTAAAAATATTATGCACTCTTTCAATCCAATTAAAACTAGCGATTTAATTTAAATATTTAATATTTGCATAACTAAAAAAAAGGTTTTTACAATTTTTTCTATATAATTTACTGTTTTGTTGCAATAAACGTTCAAACTTTTAATCTAACCTTTGACGTATACATTTACGTTCCCTTAATTAATATATCCTTAAAGGTTGCCATGAAACTTAGATCTATTAAAAATTTATTTGACGTTTGAATTATCATTTTCAGTATATGTATTCTATAATTTTTGTTTAGTTTTTTAAAGTGTTTTTTATTAACAAAAATGAAAAATTGTAGTAAAAGTTAAGAAGAAATTCATGAAATTTAACTAAGGTCCGGTTTATTCATCTTTAGTAAAGTTTATCGGGCCGATAACTTTCATGTCTTGGCAATATCTAGTGTCCAAAGAAATTATTCGTCAAATAAATCAAAAATGTGGCACCCTTATAATTATTGTTTAATAAATGTATACTATACATTTAACCTTAAATTAAAACTTAAATTTAAACGTGTATTACAACAAAACAGTAAAAGATATAAAAAATGTATAGACCTTTTTTTAGGAAATTAACTAATCTTTAATCTGATTTAAAAAGTTATGATAATATTTAAATAAAATAAAAAGTTTTTTGGAGAATTGAAAGTGTGCATACATATGTTTATGATCGTTTATATAGAAGATATAAATATATTTTGACGTGGATTAGACCTACAGGAAATACCGCATTAAAAAAACGAGCCTGAGACTCTACCTTTAACGTAGTCGCACCGAGCTCTATTTTTTTTTGAAATTGTTGAATATTAAAAGAGGTACAAAATGTTAATCATATTAAAAAAAAACAAAAGTTAAAAACACTAACTTTATTTTTTTACTCATTTGATTAAACCAAAAACATTTCAGACAAAAATTATTGCAAATAAAAAATAATGTTGCTCTTTAACTTTTATTGAGCAATATACGAGGGCCCAGATATTCGATAAAAATTTAAAAAATGTATTTTTTCGTAAATCTTTGTAAGAAAAATTGTTCAGGTGGTGCAAATTTCGTTTTAAGCTTTTAAAATAAGCCCCTATCGATTCACCACATTTGACTGGATTATAAGCAAGTATTGCATTAGTGATACTATTTTTAAATAAAAAATCATGACAATAACGTTATTCTTAGACAGTCACTGGTCAGCAACAGCTGTCGACGATAGAAGTATAGTCAGCCCTTTAAAATCATCGACAGTAGTACCAATAAGAACCACAGTTAAACAACTGGCCGACTCTACTTAGTACGTAGACCCCAACCGTTTATAGGTTGGGTTACCTAATCCAGTGTCGTGCCAAACAAATGCCGGAGAATTACTTTAATATTCATGATTTGTTTTATTCTAAAACAGTAATCTTTTTAAATATTATTTTATTTTCTGAAAAATCTGGGACAACAATCCCACTTTTATCCTATACATTCAAAAATGTTCCCACTAAATTAATTAGTAAATAAATCAATATTTGTAAACAAAAATAAAGCATACATACATGTAATTATTTGATTAATTTCACATTTAAAATATGATAAATAAAATGACTTATAAAGTTTTCAAACAAATATATATAATGATAATAAATATACCGTTTTTAATGGAGATAATTTCGAAACGAGTAATTTATTTTTGCGAAATTATCTGCATTTCGTATTTATATTACGTCTCTCGCAGACTTTTTGATTTATTGTTTCATATTTCGTATTATAAGCTAACCAAAACAAATAAAATGAACGAATCTCATAAATCACAGGAACGCTCAGGACAACATCATTCAAGGATCTCGTCCTCTAAAATCCTTTCTGCTTTTCTGCTCTGTTTCAATCAAACTAATTAATTTTTCCCAAAGTAATTAGGCTATGCTAAGGAAATATTAAATAAAATATGTAGACGCATGTAAAGTACATTGTAGACAGATTAGCTTAATAATATTAATATTATTTAGTATTGATTTATTCATATTTAATAATTATGTTTTAAACTTGATAAAAGAGTAATTTTTTTTGTTTTGCCCTATACAATCAAAAAGAAGTACCTTTAAAAGACCTTTCAAATGTAAAGTCACATGACCCAGTTTGTATTTTGTGACCTTTTGGCAGTATCACGTTATTTGTGTTTTTTTAATCCACAGGTTAGGTACCCTTTACAGTATCTAAAAAATAAGTATTTGGTTATAATCAGCTTGCAAAGACCTTTTCAATGATGTGCCACATGACCCAAGCAGCATTTTAAGTTTAAATAACTACAACTGTACTACTAAGTCAACTTTAAAGTATTTTTTACGGTTAATCAAAACGGTTTTATAACGGTATAGATACGAAAAATTACCAAATTTGGTGAATGGTTTATTTCGTTATTTTACCTACATAATAACCTTCTTGATCTACTAAGAGAATATCGTAATAAAAACAATATAAATACCACAAATTTACGTAAAAATAACGTTATAATTACTAACTGTTTGCTCTCTCTTTCAAAAATATTGACATTCGTAATTTCTTTGTTCTTTTAATTTATATTTTACAAAATGGTACTTACAAAGTAATAAAGGTCACCCTAGAGTAAAATTATAAAATATAACTTAAATTGTCAAAACTAATAATATTTTGCATTAAAACTTAAACGCACATTATTTTATTGATAAAAATAGGCAGGATACATCTTAAAAATTATATACCCTCTAAATATTTTACGGTTTTAAGAAAAATTATTGCTTGGGTAAAATATTCAACAAAATATTCAACAAAACCTAAAACCTACCAAATTTTATAAAATCTTTTAAAAATCATTTATTTTTAATCATTTCTTAATAACTAAAACTTTCTTTATTATATTTTAGAAAAATATTTATGAAAAAATATTATTATAATTTTCCCTTAAAGTTTTATTTTTCACTTTAAGCTTATTTTTCCTTTTTTAGTCAATATTAATAGTATTTATTACCACTAATAACCCTAAAAAATACCAGGCGAATAGGAATTATTTACGGTTATAAAGTGGTCTTAATATCGTAAAATTATAACTTATGAGTAACATTTACCATTAAGTAAAAATTCTGACGTTAAAATTACCATTAAATTTTCCTTTAGGTGAAATACACTTATAAGTAATTTTCTTTCGTAAAAATTACGTCCCTCATAATACTTTAAAGTGTTGAAACTTAAGGGTTATTTAAATAGGTAAAAATAACATAAATAAAACCTATTAAATAACTTTAAAAAAAGTTTTACTTTAAAGTAAATTTGTAAGGTTATTTTAACAAAATATTTACTTAAATTAAATAATATTGCCTCAAAGCTCTACGCTTTTACGCTGCTTGGGGACACCAATTCCTATTGAAATTTGTCTGTACTCCATATAAAAAAAATGTTTTACATCAAATATTATGTTAAATCGCTAAATTATTTAAAACACATTTATTTATGGAATAAAATGCTTTTTTAATAATTCATAAGATATTACTTTAACTTTGATTTTAATAACCCAATTATTGTTGTAAATATATATTTTTGAATTTTACACGTAAGAAATGGAGTAAAAATTTGTTTCATATCTTGTTTTATTTAATATTATTATTAGACAAACATCTTAACATCTTGTATGTTCCTAGTAATATGTCATGGGTTTAACAAATAGCAATTTTTTTAAATTAAACTAAAAAAAGTAAGAATTTTCATTAAATTTAGAAATGCAATGATTTGTACAGCATTTGAACAAAACTATGCAACAAAAATATATAAGATTTTGACTCAGTTTTGAATTAGACCTACAGCAAATAAAGTGGTATGTGTTCCCAGAATGTTAAATAGGTAGTATAATAATAATAATATTGATAAACGCCAATGTTTGAATTTTAATTAGGCAATAAGTGTATAGAAACGTTTATAAATGAGTTGCATACTATACTATTTCTACGACAAATAATTATTATTATATAAAAATGATTTAAATTAAAAAAATAGAGTAACAATTCTGGGGAATCTGTATTACCGGCGCGCCGGTAGAAATGTCAAATTTGTGTGTGTAAATCAAAATGTATCCCTTGAAAATGAACTAACAACAGTTTGTTACAGTGAAAGTAAAAAAAAATTTTTTATGAGCACTCCACAGTGGAGTCCACCCAAAATTAAGTTAAATCTAGTTTACTGCCGGAGAAATTAAAAGGTATGTACAATGTTCATATAAACTCTTGAAATATTGGCGTTGAGAAACTATTTATTACTTTTGTATTTTTGTATTGAGATTATAAAATAATTTTTACATTTAGTATAATTTTACAAGAAGGGCAATTTATTTTAACGATTGACAACAGTTGCTGTTAACTACCTTCAGCACGTGACTAAAAACCTGTTGCTAACTTCAGCCCCTGACTAAATCTCCATAAAGCCACAACTTGTCAATGTGTATTTTTAATGTCACTTAGTGTAATTGAAGCCTGTACGATAATGGCCGTTTTTATGTAAAAGAAAACTGAATTAAGGTTAATAAAAATGACGAAATAACTAGATTATTCATCTTTTTGCAATTTTAAGTCAATTATGCCTGCCAAAGCGGCGTTTAATAGAGCCGCGTCGCGACGCGTCACGCGGCAGGAATATTTAAATAGTCCCGTCTTATTTATCCAGCTCTTCTGTGTAACAAAACAACCTGAACTGGAATTAATTTAAATCGTCGAAATTAATTCTTACCTGTCTTAATGGGTGAAGTCACGGCCGCCCCAGTAATTAAATTTCGCTGAAATTTGTTTCGTCCCCCGTCATGACGTCATAAACAGTGCCGGCTCTAAGGGGGGCGACCACCTGGGGCGGACAAATTGGAAGGGTGGCTAATAATATTTGTAAAATTATTATTACTAAACAATAAATTCTAATTTTACGATTTTAAGGATCTAAGTAATTGAGATTTACTTTACTTTTTTATTTAGAAAGATACATTGTTTTTTTTTCATAATGATCTATTTAAACTGTCAGAACAAAAAATACAAAGAATATAAAAAACGAATAGTACATTATAAACCAGGCTGAGAAAGCCCATATTAAACCCGAACTTACATTTCGGCTATCGCCTATTTTTGTGATATTAAAATATCCCTAATTGAATATTATTATTTAATTACAACTTTTAGTTATAGGCAACTGTTTGTACAGTTGTGCTTTTTTTGGTTTTATAATCATTATTATTTTAATAAAAATGTAATAATTGGGTTTAGAAGATTATTGTGAATTATCTAGTTATCGTAAATAGGGTACTTAATTAATATTTAAAGCCGTGCAGAATTAACAGAAACTAGGTTCTACAATGCGCATGCATAAAGAAGCTTCTACTGTTTTGGACGAGTCCATTATTTGATGATGGTGGATTATTAGGGTGTTGGCTGTTGGTGACTACACACGTGAGGCGAATGTTAACCCTAGAACCACAACCTGGCGTCGCCGGTGACCAATGAAATATAAAATCTTAGATTACGCACGCGTCAATTTTTGTACTGTGTTGCGCTTCTCAGTATCTTCTTAATTATTAATGAGAAGTGTTGTACCCAAGTAGGAACTGTGTAAGATTTTCGAAACATAAAATAAATGTGAGCATTGCAATAAAAGTGTTTGCGCTGAACATCGCTTTTCTATTTGTATGGACTGCAAATAATATTCATTTTGGGACAAACTACTTAAATTAATTATTTAATATTATGTTTTAATATTATTATTATGTTTATTTTAATTAAAAAAAAATTTTTGCTATACTTTCTTTTTATTTATGAATAAAACTTTATGAAATGACAATCAGAATTTTTAATTGCCTTATTTTAAACAATATATGGGTTTATTCTTTCCGGTCGTATGCGACGCCACGTTGTGAGTAAACTCAAATTTCACGTTGTAGTTCTAAAAACAGAAAAACTTCAAAAAGAATAAGGGGATCTTCGTACATTGTGGTTTTTTTATTTTAGAAGAATATACAGGTTGGTCTTTGATATTATTTATACTACATATTTTGTTGTAAATGATTGTTTTACATGTTTTAATTTCTCCAACGGCTGCAATTACACAATGCTTGTCTAATTAATTGTTTCGACTTTTACTTGATGAAACTCCATGTTAATATTGTTTATATTGTAACGTTTTTATTGTTCGTAGTGTGAATTAAAACACGCACTGGTTAATTAACGAACTAAACTATTTATTTAATAACTTAACTACACTTAAAACACTATAGAACTAACTAAACACTTAACTTCTAATTATTTATATATCACTATTGCTCAAGAGTCTATTTATTTGCACTTATATTTATTTATTTCGCCGCGAGTACCAAATCTTAACTGACTGCTCTGTGTTGCTCCGTTTCTTATATATTCAGCGCCAAGGTCTTCTGGAACATTCCAGCGAGCTCCACACTCTCGATTGTTCGAGCGCTGAGTCACCGGCGATGACTAACCGGCGATGACTCATCGGCGATGAGTCATCACTCCGATATGCAGAGCGGTACTCGCTACATTGCCCCCGTCTTAAAACATTTTCGTCCCGAAAATGGTCCTCAGCTCCATGGCGATATTTGCATAAAGATCCAAACTTGCAGTGTGACGTCCTATAGAAGTAGCAGTCTACGGTCTTTCTTCCGGTTGTTCTTTTAGGGTTGTGGCAACAGACAAGAATGTGTATGCCACTAAATCTGAAGATAACTTCCACCATACTTCTAATTATTCTCCAGTCCAAACCGTCAAGTCCACAAGCAATCTTTGGTATCGCCAGGTTCATGATGTCCTTGGACAAAAGGGTATCCCTCAATTTATTTAAGGCATTCCATACATCACGGTAGTTTGGCTTCTGATGGGAGAGCTGCTTTGTTACCAGATAGAAGATACTTCTGTTGCCTATCTGCTCATTATTCACAATTTCAAGCACCCCTCCAACTTTGGGATTCTGCCTTCGTAGCTCGTCGATCCGTCCAAACTTGTTTTTAAAAACAACCGCTATTCCCCTGGACATCCTTAGGTCTTCCGCAACACAGTGAGCCAAGGAGTAATCGGCCGGAACCGTGAATAGATCTTGTTGTTCTTCTCGAGTGACACCGTAGCGAGCTTTTTTACCGCTCGAATATAAATACATGAAGTCTTCAAAAAGCAACTCGTCTTCCGGAGGATTAACTCGCCTTACTCTAGCATGGTTCATTTGGTCATCATTGTTTCCAGCGTAAGGAGCCAATCGGTTAAAATGGATCACTTTCGGCTTTCCTCTTGGTTGTTTTCTGATCCGGTAGATGATGTCATTTATGCGATCCATGACTTCGTATGGTCCTTCCCAAGAAGTCTGCAGCTTCGGTGAATAACCACGACGGCGCTGAGGGTTGTATAACCAAACTAGGTCTCCAGGTTGAAATCCTCCATTTTCCGCCTTGATGTCGTATGCCTCTTTCATTCTATCACTGGCGCTCTGGATGTTTAAACGAACTCGGCTGTGAATGTCGCTCATTTTCCTACGTAAATTGTTGACGTAATCTTCTCCAGCAATATCATCCCCTGGTAGGCAACCAAACCTCAGGTCACAAGGTAGACGAAGTTCACGCCCCATAACAATGCTAGCGGGTGTCTGGCCGGTTGTATCGTGGATAGAAGAACGGTACGCCAACAGGAACAGATGAAGAAAGCGGTCCCAGTCTCTTTGGTGATCAGAGACTACCTTGGACAGGTACCGGTTTATCGTTCGATTCATTCGTTCTACCATTCCATCGGACTGCGGATGTAATGCAGTCGTCCTCGTCTTCCGAATGTTAAGAATCTTACACACATTCTGGAACAGTATAGATTCAAAGTTCCTGCCTTGGTCTGAATGCATTTCCATTGGGACACCAAAACGACAAATCCACTCCTTAATAAGGGCATCGGCCACTGTGGCAGCTTCCTGGTTTGGCAAGGCGTACGCTTCCGCCCACTTGCTGAAGTAGTCCATTACAACGATGATGTATTTATTTCCAGATTCTGTTTCCGGAAATGGACCCGCCACGTCGATTGCAATTCTCTCAAATGGGCTGCCCACATTGTACTGTCGCATTGGGGCTTTTGGGCGCTTCTGGGGTCCATTGCTTGCCGCGCAAACGGCGCACTTCTTGCACCATTCCTTCACATCCCGTTGGCTGTTGACCCAATAAAACCGTTCCCTAAGTCTTCCGAGCGTCCTGGTCACCCCAAGATGTCCTCCAGTAGTTCCATCATGGATTTCCTGCAGCACTTCTGGTATCCTGTTTCTGGGGATTATTATCTGCTTCCGGTCTTCCCCCCCTTCTGGCATCTCCAGAACGCGCTTTAGAAGCCCGTCACTTAAGATGATGGAATTCCATTGGGCCCAGTACGATTTCACATTCGGCGAATATTGGGCGACTTCCTGCCACGTTGGTTTACGGTCGTTTTTCTTCCAATCGATGATAAGCTTCAAATCCGGGTCCCTTTCCTGGTCTTGTTGAACCTCAGCGGATTGCCAATGATCATCCACGATTGTAGTCCTGCGAACCAACACATCCTTTTCTTCGGCCCTGAGACAATGTTTACAGTCTTCCGGGCACGGTCTTCTTGACAAGGCGTCAGCATTTCTATGGATCGTCCCAGCCCGATGTTCTGTGTCAAAGTCGAACTCCTGTAGTCTTTCAATCCATCTTGCTACCTGTCCTTCAGGATTCTTGAATTGCAAAAGCCATTTAAGGGCAGCATGATCCGTTCTTAGCAAGAATTTTCTTCCATACAGGTACTTGTAAAAGTGTTCGACTGCTTTTACCACTGCCAACAGCTCGCGTCGAGTAACACAGTAATTTCGCTCTGGTTTCGATAGAGTTTTACTGAAGTATCCAATAACTTTCTCTTTTCCTTCTTGAATCTGCGACAAAACAGCTCCCAGGCCCACATTGCTGGCGTCCGTGTCCAAAATAAATTCACCATCCGGAAGTGGATAACTCAGGACTGGTGAGCTGGTCAACGCGTTTTTCAGGTTCTTAAAGGCTTCTTGGCATTCGTCGTCCCATTGAAATCGTCTTTCTCCCTCTGTTAAACGTGTCAAAGGCTTAGCAACCTTTGCGAATCCAGGTACGTACCGCCGGTAGTAGGTGCATAATCCAAGAAAGCTTCTTAAGTCATGTTTGTTTTTCGGTACTGGCCATTCCCGCACCGTCTTCACCTTCTGTTTATCCACTGCAACTCCTTGACTTGAAACGACATGGCCCAGATACTGCACTTCCTTCTGTAACAAGTGACATTTCTTTGGGCTAAGCTTCAGGCCAGAACTTCTTAAGCGATGAAAGACTTCCTTCAGGTTCCTCATATGGTCCTCAAATGATTTCCCAACCACAATGATGTCATCAAGGTACACCAAGCATGTCTTCCAGGATAGTCCCTTCAAAACCATTTCCATGAGCCTTTCAAAAGTTGCAGGGGCATTACATAGTCCAAACGGCATGACAGTAAACTGCCACAGTCCAGCACCCACGGTAAACGCCGTCTTTTCTCTATCTTCTGGTGCCATTTCAACCTGCCAGTAACCGCTTTTCAAATCCAGAGTCGAAAATATTTGGGATCCAGCCAATGTATCCAGGGTGTCATCTATCCTAGGCAGAGGGTAGCTGTCCTTCTTCGTCACGTTGTTCAGCTGACGAAAATCGACGCAAAATC